TTGTGTGAATTCTTATCGAGTCGAAAGATTAGAACGCATCTGACATAACATTTACGATTAATTTCTATACATTTTTAATACAAATTTTTTTTATTTTTAAACAAAAATATATTTAAAATTTAATATATTGTCGTCTGAAAACTGTATCCAATCAAAAGATGAGAACGCACCTGACGTGACACTTACGTGCAATACTTTACATTTTTCATGCGAGTAATTTTCATTTTTAAAGAAAATAAATTTTTATTTATAAAAGAAAAATAAATTTACAACAAAATGTATTGTCGTGTGGTCCAATGGTATCCGGGTTGGACTTCCATTTGGAAGATTATAAGTTCGAGCCTCAGTGGAGGCGTTATTGGTTCTTTGTGTTTCAATAGGTTGAGAAAGTATATGAACAGATACTACAATGTAATAGAGCCAGTAACTTTAAAAAAAAAAAAAAAAAAAAAATATTGTCGTGTGAAAACTTTATCCAGTAAAAAAAATTAGAATTCACCTAACATGATACTTACATTCAATACGTTACATTTTTAATAAGATAAATTTTAAAGAAAAATAAGTTTAAAATTAAATATATACGTTGTTGTGTGAAATCTTTATCCGATCAACAATTTAAAATGCACATGACGTGATGGTCATATTCTATACGTTGCAGGTTTAATTGGATAAAATTTCATTTTTAAGGAAAAATAAACTTTATAATAAATATATTTTCGTGTGAAAATTTTATTTTGTTAAAGATTAGGACGCGTCTGACGTGATACTTACATTCAACACGTTACATTTTTAATGAGATGTCCAGTCTGTTAAATTTTTAATACGATAAATTTTCAATATTTTTTTTTTGAAATACTCATGATTTTTTTAAAATCTATTATATGTTTTATACTTTCTCAAACAATTTAAATCCAAAAAATTTAAACCCTCTGGCCTCTGCATATGACCACTCATTTGGAATGGTAACCTAGATTCAATCACATACATGGTAGTTGGCGGATAAATTTTTATTATTTTAAAGAAAATTAAATATGTTGTTGTGTTAAAACATTATCTGTTCAAAAGATTAGAATGCACAAGACGCAATACATAAGTTCAATACGTTACACTGTTAATGGAATAAATTTACATTTTTAAAATTAACTTAAATACATCGTCGTGTGAAATCATTATCTAGACAAAAGACTAAAACGTATCTAACTGGATGTGTACGTTCCAGACGTTACATTTTTAACGAGATAAATTTTATTTTTTTAAAATAAATTTAAAATAAAATATATTGTCGTGTGAAAACTTTACCAAGTCAAAAGATTAGAACCCACCAAACGAAATACTTACGTTTAATACGTTATATTTTTAATGCAATTAATCTTCATTTTTTAAAGTAAAATAAATTTAAAATTAAATGTATTGTCGTGTGAAAAATTTTTACAATAAAACAATTAGAACACACTTGATACGATATTTACATCCAATACGTTACATTTCTAATGCTACAAATTTTCGTTTTTTCAAGAAAAATAAGTTTAAAATTAAATATATATGTTGTTGTGTGAAATCTTTATCCGGTCAACAATTTAGAATGCATATGACGTGATAGTCCCATTCTATACGTTACATGTTTAATTGGATAAAATTTTATTTTTTAAAGAAAAATAAACTTTAAAATAAATATATTTTCGTGTGAAAACTTTATTCTGTCAAAAGATTGGGATGTACGTGCGTGATACTTACGTTCAACACGTTACATTTTTAATGGGATGTCCAGTCAAAAGAAGTTAAATTTTAAGGAATAAGGGTCAAATAGAATAATGCAATTAGGCCACTGAACCTAAAAAAGCTACAATTAAATCCCTAAACTAAGCATTTTTTTTACAATTTGTCTAATTTGTAAATTTTCTAGGTTATTTAACATCAATTGTGACTTTTTTTTTTTTTTTTTCAACATAATGAAGCGCACTGAGTCATCAATGGCTCCACTGAGACTTGATCTTATGACCTCCCACATGAGAGAGGTCACTACATGCAATCTAAGTACAAAGTGCTTGGCAAATCAACTGTGACTTAAATAAGACAAAATAAAAAAATTATTTTGGGTGACGAGAGAAATCCGTTACCACTACCGTATGCACGGGATATATTACATTTATGTGTAATAGCTTGCAAATCATATAAAAAATATTAACCGTTCTAAAAGACATTGTAAAACGGGATTGATCAATAATCGTAAAATCTTTTTAATATTATGATTCTCATGATTAGATTTTAAAAGATTTTCAACGCTTATAATTTTATTCAGATTATTTGAATTTAAAACTTTTTAATAATCCATTGCTTTCGTATAACATCCCAAGTCTTTAAAGTCATAAAGGCATTTCCCATTCAAATTTCTTTTTGTATGATTTGTAATATTCTAAGATAGATTGACGGACCAACCACTTCAAAACGTCCCCACATATATTTGCATATTAAGAAAACATATTTTCCAATTTCCATATTTGACTATTTGAGGATATACACTAGATAAAATATATTTTTATATAAAACTCGTAAATCGCACAAAGAAAGTAAACTATACCATGAAGAGCGCAGCTTTTATGATGGGCTCAGTTAAGAGAACGTTGACAATAATTAAACTTATAACCTTCTAATACAAAAATCATGATACATATACTCGAGTAGCTCGACCACGTACTTATTTTGGAGCCATTAGGGATGGCAACGGGGCGGGGCAGGACGGAGAGTATACCCGTCCCCGTCCCGAAACCCCGACCCCGTCCCCATCCCGGCGGAGAATTATTGTAATTTTTAATTTATATATATATATATATATATATATATATATATATATATATATATATATATATATTATTTTTAAAATTTTTAATTTTTAATTATAATAATTAATCGGGGACGGGGACGGGGGAAGGGTATCCCTGTCCCCGTCCCCGTTTTCGCTGGAAAATTTCAAAAATTCCCCTTCCCAGTCCCCGATTCCCGAAATTTTTTTCCGTCCCCGTCTCCATCCCCGACGGGGACAGGACACATTGCCATCTCTAGGAGCCATTATTGCATACCTTTTTGACTTTTGAGGTTGAGGAAATTAAACAACTTTCCAAAAATAATATAATGCCAATTGGAAGCAAATTAAAAAAGGTATGAATTTTGTATTAATTAACTTTATGCAAAGAATCTTGATTGGCATAATATCTTTGTTCCACAAATATTATTCTAGTGTCAATAAGCAAAAAGTTTATGCTTGAAAGCTACAACTCATAAGTTGACAGCCCCTTTCTATTGTTTTCTTTCCCCCTTTTGTTGACATATAAATCAACAAGGAGAACGATATGAGATTTCTCATTAAAATTTATCAAATATGAGGAGTTCACGGGACGTCTAGGCGGGGGAATTGAAATGTAATTCTTCTCCCTAATCTGAAAAAAAAAAAAAAAATTATTCTATAGTCTGATTGGAAGGAATTGAAATTTTGTAAATTTCTCAATTTTATGAAACTGAAACTCCTAATCCCTCTCCTAATATTTTAAATTTCATGATTGTTACGAAGAAAGATTGGTGAGACCCTAGTCTTTGTGCGCACACAAAAAATCCAATTAATACCTTCCATCATCATGAACCTTTTTTTCATTCATGTCTTCAGAGATTTCGAACCGTTACATAGTTGTCACACTGTCACCTTTAGTCAATCGTAACATCAAGTTAGAATGACCAGTATCTTAATTTCAAGAAGGGAGGGCAATATTATGTTGGAACTATTAATAGAGACTAATTGAAAGATGGACAACAAAGTCCAATGACAAATACAAATATATTCAAATAAACATGTCTAGAAAGAAGCAACCGAATGAGTGCGTAGAATATGATTAATGTATCTAGAGGTCACAAGTTTAATTTTTATTAACATTATTTTAATTAAATCCATTACACATGATTTTATATTTTCTTTAAATACGGTGTACAATTTACCTCTTCAAAATCAGTGTTTATTTGTGCATATTCCCAAGTGTTATGAACGACATAAATAAAGAATCTTGTATTAGATCTTTGTCGCCTAATTGCCTAAACCGCCAACCTCTGAGTACAACGTAAACCATAGGGACAGCAAATCTTTTACTGCCAAAACAATGTCTATAAAATGCAAAGCATATTCATTATATTGTTGAAGCTCAAGCTATCACCTATGAAGAAAACAAAATTATATTAGAGGTCACCTAAAATTAGAGCTTCACCATCATAAGACATTGTCACGCTTCTTGTACTTATAAAAAAAAAAAAAAATGTTGGGAAAAGTTTGGTATCTTTAACAACGAAAAATGGGTGAATTTTGTGAAGGCCTAGGGGTTAAAGTAATGACCCAAAAAACGGGTTGGGTTGACATAAACCTTAAATGGGCTAGTTTAATAAATGTATGTTAACTTTTGATAACCCATGTCTTTTAATTTTGTCCGGCTATATCTTGGATCTCATAAACCCGTCTTCAAGCCTATAAAGAGATAAATCGAGTCAATCTAACTTTGAAACTCAAAGCCCCAGCCAAACCCAAACCCCCTAATATGGCAAAATTTTGTGTATCATGGCCCAAACAATGTTATGTGAACCATAACAAAAAGTACATTTTTAATATACTAAATATACATTATTTTTGTACTGAATGTACATTATATAATATAATGTACACTCAGTACAAAAATAATGTACATTCTCTGAATACGATGTACATTATTTTTATATTAAATATACATTATTTTACCGTATTTAAAATATGATATACACAATAATGATTGCCCTAATATTCATATTCATGAATCGAACCTCATCCTACCGCTAGAAGCGAATCAGTACAACTCCCATCTACTAGCCCTGGGGGCAATAAATGTGTGTTTTTTTATCTTAAAAGAAAACTAGCGAAATGTTAACAAGAAAATTTCTTCATTTTATAGAGAATCTGAAAATTGAACAGTTGAAGTAAATGCAACCTAAGAATAACCTTTATAAGGGACACATCAAGTTAGTTATATTCTTGTTACCATTATAGTTCTAATAAGAATCTTGCAAGGGAATTAAGGATAAAGAAAATCTAAAATCTACCTAGATTTCGTGCTACAATTTGGGTAAACGATGGTTCCATTGATGGGAAGTTTAAGCTGGCAATCAAGGTGGAGCCTAAACTTCACAGAGCCCAGCAGCCACACTCTCCACCGCGTCCCGGTCTCGCCTTGGATGTCGAACACCGCGTGGCGCTGCCGCAGCGCCGCCTCGGCGGTGTCGGCCTGGTCGGGCGTGAGGGGGATGGGGGTGGACTCGACGGGGTAGTAAAGGTCCAGGGAGCTGTTCTTGGGGACGTCGAAGTCGGGGGCGAAGAGGTAGGCGACCTTGACGCCGTGGAAGCTGAGGGTGTAGTGGGTGTGGTAGAAGCTGGCGTGGGCCTTGGCGTTGCCGTTCTCCGCCTTGATGACAATGGCGGCTTTCACGGTTAGGACGCTGGCCATGTCGTACGAGATTCTCTCCAGCTGGGCGCTGGCGATGCTCATTTGAGGCACCTTGGGTTTCACGACCATGTAGCCGATGAACACGGCGATGCCGGTGAAGATCACGGCGACGGTTAGGACGGTGCAGATTATGGCGGCGCACCAGATTAAGGGGTTGGTGCGTCGCTCGGGGCCGAGCACTGGCTTTGGCATTGATGGGAGAAGAATGAGGGGTTTGTCGGAGGGAATTGGTGGCCCGGGAGAGACAACATTCGGGGAACCTGGGACGGTTTTATGGAGGTTTAGAAGAAGACAAGAAGTTGTGTACGAGGTGAGGAATTGAAGTAAAACAGGCAGTTGGGAGTTGGGTGTAATTGGTGGGAAAGGTTTTGGCATCTTCCTTTCCTAAGGATAAAGTCACCATTAAAATTTGAAACAGTTTGTGCATTAAGCTTCTCAATCCAGGAATATAATCACAGGCTCTTCAACCTCAAAAAAAGGGTATAGTTCAAAAAAATACCAAACTTGCAGTCCATCTTATTTCTTAAAAACACTTTTTTTCGACAGCACCTTTCATCTTAAGAAAACCCATTCCTCACTTTGGGGGAAAATGACTGTGTAACATTCTTTGAACATTGTACAGTACAATTGCATTGGCAATGCAAATCTTGAAAGCAGAATCAATTGTAGGCAAAACATTATCACGGTTAGATTGCAAAATCTGCAGACATTAACCTGGTTTGTATTAGGAAGTATTAAAAGCTTGACAATGTTGCAGAAATAGGAAGTTTGCTTCACCATTTTGAGTTTTTGACAGCCATTTCATTAATCCAATATCAAGATTAAAGTACACAAAACTGATCATGCTTTAAAGCTTCTTCTGCATAATATTTGAAACATTTCACCACTACTATATACCAATCAACTGAACCATCTCAAATCTGGTTAAAACACACATCATTGGCAAGAACTTGACTGCCTCATGGCATCTGAAAGACAAACAAGGCAAGGGATAGCTTGCGAGGTCGTCTGTGAATTGCGGTGTCCCAGTTTCTTGAATTGGAGCCATGGATATTCAATGAAAGACAAACGAGCCTGTCTACCTCTCCGGGAAGGGGGTGGTCGACCGTCGTTTTTTTTTTTTTTTTTTTTAAATAATTTTTTTCAATTGTTTTTTAAATTTATTATTAAAATTTATTAAAAATGCGAATTCAGCTGCCACGTAACCAGGTAACCTGCTAAAATTGATGATAACATGCTATAAGGTGGAATTGCATACATTTGGAGTGTTCGATCAGTGGCCTAATTGCACTTTTTTTTTTCTTCTGTCAGTGACCTAATTACATTTTCAAGTTAGGTTTACTGGTCAATTTGAACCTTATTCCAATATTTTTTAATTTTTGTTATAAGACTAAAGTATCTGCAATAGTGAAATTTTTGAGATGATTTTTGAGGTGTCAACTAAAAGACTAGCGGGCACGTACACTGTACGCATCTAGCTGGACATGGTACACGCATGCCACCGCGTCTTTTCCTTCCCCTTTTTTTTCTCCTACAGGTCCCACAAAAAATCATTATTTGCAGGACGAGCTCACAAATTATCTCTCACACATCTCTCCCATCTCCATCACTTACATTTCTTTAAAAATTGGTCCAAAATCCATTAGGGGGTGTTTGGTTGAGAGGAAAGAATTAGGAAGAAAACGAATTGTAATTTGGTGGAAAAATAATAATGTATGTATAATGTAGAAATTCAAATTACATTGATTGGTAGGGAGGAACAAAATTATTGAGAATGAAAAGGAAAAAGTGGTATAAAGACAAAAATATCTTTGTGTAATAATAACAATCAACAAGGGTATTTTTTGGGTGTAAACCATACTGTGGTCCGGGTCTTTCTCTGCGTTTAACGGTCAAGTTCCACCCGATTCGCTTCGAGAGACACAGAAGCTGGCCCAAAGAGAATCGTCATGTGTGGGAATCGAACCCGAATTATCTCAGAATTCTCCCCCACAAAGAGAGCTTATTTGCCCCTCGAGCTACCTAGTTGGGTTCCAAATACGGTAATTGAGGCCTTCATTGAATTACAAATTCAATTATAACTAAATTATATTTAACCAAATGCGGTATTAATGTTTGAGCTCTTATTAGTATAGTAGATAGTAGATATTAATAACAATTCATTTATCAACGGTTGGAAATTGCGGGTTGAATGAAGTTAAAACTTTAGGGACAAAAGTGAAATTTAATGGACCAAGCGACCAAGTGGCAAAATCTTGACCTCCAATCCAGACAAGACTGCCATTGTGAGGCCATTTTCCTGCCACCTTAAATCATCACATACGCCTTCAGATGCTTCCACAAAATATCTCACAATCAAAAACCTATCCAAAATCCCTTCCGAGCAATCATGTCTAGATTCCTTGTACATATTACATATTTACATATAAAATTTATATATATCATACATGCCACCGGGACTTTAAGCATCGTTTCCACTGACAGTTGACAGTTGACAGTTGACCCCATCCTTCCGGAGCCATGGAAGCCTCTGCAGCTCTAAGTTCAGGCACAAGGACTCTGTTCTTAAGCGGGCCATCAAAGCTATTTCCCAGCAAGAAATGGGATCCTCGCTCTGGGTCTTGCTGTTATCTGAATTCCAAGTCCAGGGTTGCCTTGTCCGTCACCCCTGCTCGGTGTCGAAGCAGTATCGCCTCTTCATCGGCTCAAACTTCGTCCCCGGCCGTTCATGTTTCGCAGGAAAAGCTTGAACGTGTAGAGACGTCCATAGAGAAGGTGATCGGTTTGCTGCGAGTAGAGCACACCATGTGTATGTATAAATGTGCATGTGGTGATTCTCTGAGTAATTTGTGGGCTTTGAATGTTGTTGTTGTAGGTAATTTATGGGTGTCGCTTCTTTGCTATCCTTGCGGTCTGGGGTTCCCTGATTGGATCTTTTCTTTGCTTTATCAAGGTGCATTTTATTTTATTTTATTTTCAAGTTTTTTTTTTCTCTGTATATATTGGTTTCAGAATAGGATATGATAGCATATGGAATCATGTTTATTTGGAGCAAATCACAAACAATTTGAAGAACCATAAACTGGCTGAAGCTGCAGAAAGAAACACCATAAATTGGTTTAGTGGCTCATGGTACTGGTAGTCTGGTAGTATAGATATCATTGAATTTGGAAAAGAAGAAGAAGAAGATATTTTCCCACTATGCCTAAAATCCTGTAGTGCATTTAATGTTCTGAAGTTCAATATTTGAAATGATGTATAAAAGGCAAGAACTTAAATAGTTGAACTCTGTTTGTGTTTATGTAATAAAGTACAATTCTTTATGTATCTAGCAAATAGTAAATGTCATTACAGAAAGTAATTTTCTAATACACATTTCAAAATTTCTGGAACATTTGTTGTCACATGCAGGGTTGCGTTTGTGTTGTTGGAGCATTCCAATCATATTTTGTGACCCGTGCAAAGGTTATTCTATTGCTCGTTGAGGCTGTTGGTGAGGTTTCTATCTACAGAGTATTATTTATTGTGATTCTTTCTTGTTGCATTTGTTTCTGCTCTTCTTCCTTATTTGTGACAGCCCCATTAAAATGCTTAATCGCCTAATTTTTTTCTTGTTTATGAAATGTGATGGTCTCCTTGAGGTTTTACTGTCATTTTTGGGGAAAGAAAACTTGTTGCTCTTTTGAAGTCGCCTTTCCTTTTCATCTGTCAAGGAGTATTTGTTTGTCTTTCTATATAAAAACTTTCAAGTAATTCATCAATAGCGAGTGTTTTCTTAGTCCTGTTTTGTTGTTCTTTTTCTTATCCTCTTTCCGTTGTCTCTGATGTTACCATCTGTCATTTTCTTTTACTTCCAGATATATATCTGTTAGGTACAGTAATGCTAGTTTTTGGCATGGGGCTTTATGAGCTCTTTATCAGCAATCTTGACAAGGCAAATTCAGCATCAAAGGATAGATTGGCATACAGATCAAATCTCTTTGGCATATTCACTCTAAAGGTTTTTTTCATTCCTTGGAAACTTCTAATATCTGTGTTTATTTTGTGCAATTTATGTTATTTCTATGGGTACATGATTTTGGTTCAATAGGGTGTGCACACATACATATGTACATGTATCTATACCTAATATACAGTATTAAATAAAACTAGAAAAACTGAAGTGCACACACACAATTTAAAAAGAACTCAATGCAGTTAAGACTCCAATTGATACAAGGTGGACATAATGCTCTCTGTTCAGGCTACATAATGTTACTCCATTCTTCCTCTATTCCCTTAGCCTCCTTTTGTTCACTTTGTCATTCATCCCATCTGTTGATAAATTATCAGGAACGACCAAGATGGTTGGAGATAAAAACTGTCAACGAGCTGAAAACTAAAATTGGACACGTAATAGTGATGCTTCTTCTCATCGGTTTGTTTGACAAGAGCAAAAAGGCTGTTATACACTCGCCTGCAGATCTGCTTTGCTTCTCAGCATCAGTGCTGCTTTCCTCTGGCTGCTTATATCTGCTTTCTAGACTCAATGAGTAAATTAGGTATGTACATATATATTATGTGTCTAGTCTTGAAACATGCTCTTTTGATATATATATATAATTATATATATATATATATATATATATATATATATAAAGTTCCCTCTATCTGGAATGTTGTGAATGAGACACTTGTGTATATCTTTCTTCTAGTCTTTGACTAATGGTAGATATCAAGGCAAGCTTTCTTTTGCTTGTCTCTATCAATTGCATACTTAGTGGTTTTCTATTTTCCCCTTTCATAATACTTACATCATATGATTCCACAGAATCTTGTTTACAAAAGTCAGCAGCAAAAATGTCTACTATCTGTGACACTAATCACACTGTTTGCCAATTCTCTTCTTTTCGGCTCTTACTGCATAGTAACTAGATTCAGAATACTGTTGGAGCTTCTTGAACTACGGGGGGTTAAAAGCTCTTGGACACCAATAGTGGTTATGATTAACTAAGCAGTGGTTTGCGATGATCAGATTCTTGATTTGAATCTTATTATCAGCATTTGTACTTTAGAAGCTTATCTGTATTTATGCTTTTTACCTCTTTAGCAAGAACATAAGTGGTACACTGCATTGAGTGGATTATTTTGGGGGTACTGCATGCATTCTATTGTAGGAATTCAATTCATTATGTGTTGTCTGTTTGTCTTGCAACAGATCAGAGGTGATCGGCTGAATATCAATATTAGAATACTGAACATCAGTACAGTTGTGCACTTGTGCATGATTTATGTGTTGATTGGATTTCAATGCATAATATAAAATACCTTTCTTGAAACATAAAATAAACTAAGTATTTTATTATAACAATACATGATGGTTTGATGATGTGGTACTATTCCTCCCCCTTTTTTCTCATCTCCCACAGGAACAACAAACAAATCCAGTATAGCTGCAACCCGCAAAAAAAAAATAAAATAAAATAAAAACTAAGTATTTTATTATAACAATACATGATGCTTTGATGATGTGGTACTATTGCTCCCCCTTTTTTCTCATCTCCTCCCACAGGAACCACAAACAAATTAATCAAGTATAGCTGCAACCCGCAAAATTGAAAAAACAAAAAGAGGAAGGGAGAAAAGGAGGGGGAAGAACACCAAAGATGAGAAAGAGATTAAGTAAAATATATAAATACTCCTTAATATGTTGAGAGCTAGATCCTTATATTTGAATCGAAGGATGCAGCACAGCTCTCAATATAGTTATGAGTTTTTATGTATTAGGCACCTGGAGGCTGGTCGCTACCCCCTTCATGACCCATTCCAGGGCTATGCCCTGGACTTGTTGGACTGTAAAGTGCTACGTCATACCCGGAATGGTTGTTTGAGAAGCTGTCACTTGATGTTGGTCTAGGCTTGTGTCGCATAACCTTAACAGGGGCTGGAAGATGGAATTTTGATGGCCTCAATGCTTCAGCCAACTCTAAGTGCTGCTGATGAATAAGCAGCACAATTACATAAAATACCAGAACATGGATTCTTGGATGTGAAGCCATCAAAGACATTTGATAAGAGAAGTTGGATTGTAAACATGAACCGAGGGAAATGAACTTGATGGTAGCAATGAGCCAGGCTGGTGTATATATAGGATGTTGTGTGAAGATTTAAGAGTAGTGCTTTGCCAGCAATCAATTTAATTGAAGTGCCCAACAAGCAAATATTTCCATTTTGGGTATGAATAACACTTCTCAGCCTACAACATTTCCAAAGAGCTCTGCCACTGCCACAAGTTGATATTCTCATACACCTTTTAATTAGATAAAAGCTTTTAGTACAGCATTTGATAAGACATCACAATACAACAATCCCCTTGGTATTTCTTGTTTTATTTTAGAGCAGCCTTGTGTGGGAGAGAGCTTCTTGAAGACGGAAGTTTGCTGCAAGTTGGATACAAAATAAAAGTAAAAATAAATGAAAATGGTTTTTCCACTAAACTTTATAAGGATTTGCTGTCTGCTGTCCATATTTTCCCTGATCATCTTGTTCTTAGTATATATAGTTCTGCACTACATGTATCAATTCTGTGTACAGTGTGGAGCCATCTTCTACAAAGTGATTTCCTTTGTTATTGAGCAGTGAGAAATATCGTTTATAGTCGCCAATATGGTTGCTTTAACCTGTGTTCCTAACTTCTTTACAGAGGGATGAGAACTGCTTCCTTCTTGCATTCTGTATAATTCCCCACAATCCACATTTTTACACTGCACTAGATTTGTGAAGTACAATATTTCAGTTATAGAACAGGTGACAACATATCAGTAACTGCTATACGTGGTAAGAATAAATGACAATCATCATGCTCAAATACCTTTACTTCGTCCTTATACTGTATTTTGTATGCTTTGTGTCTCCTGCACAAAGCTTAAAGAAAAGCTTCATTTCAGTCAATGTAATATTTATACCAGAGTATCATTTTCTTTTTTGTTTAAGGAAATCCTGACCCCATATTTCCTTAGGATACTGACTTTCCCATTCTACAAGTGACCAATTCCTGCACACCAGATTAGATTTAGTACAATATACAAGATTCCTGACTCACAAAAACACAAACTTTATTAATATTGTATTATACTATTATTAAGTTATTTGTTCTGTCCTTAATCTGTTTGCATTTAAATCCATTTTTCAGTCACCTTCCCCAAGAAAATCCACAAGGATTTGTAGGGCACGGGGAATTATCTGTCCAAATATCTAAATCTTTACTCTCCTTAAACACTTTGGCACTTCCCGACAATGCATTTTGAGTTTTGACACTTGGAGTTGAACATAAATCATAAAAAAACTTCTCTCTTCACTTTATTCTATGCTTTATTGGCCCATAAATGTTTGTTTAGTTTGGAATTTGTGGAATATAGTACACATTCTAATTTGTAGTATAAACAATCATGGTAGCACATATATAACCATTACTTTCTCTATGTGATTTTATTTTTTAATAAAGTTGCTTTATATATAGTTGCAATTGTTTATCCTATTATGCAAATTTATTACACCACTTTATAATAGCTTTTGGGATGAATAGAACTTGAGTAGATTTTAAAACTATTGCGTCCAATTAAGGGGAAAAAACCTTATAATTTGCTACCTTAAAATTTATAGTTTTATATTCATATACTAGCTTCCTAGTCCTTATTATTGTGCAGAGGATTTGATCATTTAACTGATATAATCACATGAGATTAATAATGTTTATATGCTTCAATTCCTATAGGCGAGAGAGATTCTTGGCTAGACTTAATTTATACAAGTTGTGTGGACTTATAGAGGTAAGTATATAATTATATATTATTATCATTATGTTTAATGAGACGGTCATAATATATTTGAAAGGGAAACAAGGGATGATTTCCATTCTGTACATTTCATAATGTTATAGATTTATACCAGCAGACTACATCTTTGTCACATTCTATTGCATATGCCTTTGCCTTTTCTCAAGATCGTTTTTCCATATTTGAGTAATAACAAATACTCTTCTAATAACAAATATATGTATCATCAAACTTATGAATGAATTGAAGATTCTGTTCTTCTTGGCTCTTTACTTCATAAAGAATGGAAAGAGCTTATTTAATTCATTTATCGGGAACATATGATTAACTAAACTATGGTTTAGCAACACACATGGAAAGAAAAGTTCTTGATTATCATGATCAGATTCTTAACGAGAATCTTATTCTTGTGAACTTGTTCTGTTTCCTTAAGAAGCCATCTTTAGCTCGAAAATAGGATAGTGCAGGATGGATACCGAAGGAAATAGAAAGCAGAAAAGTGAGGGGGAATGGAAGAGAATATTCTTAACTAGGTTAGTTGTCATTCTGTTGTTTCCACTTAACATCCTTGGATTCTTCAAAACATAGTATTCTTAGAGTGAAAGGGCGGGATATTATTGTAAATGTTAGTATTCCATGGTAGAATATTCTTCCTTAAGAAAATGACAGTTTGACTGAATATTTTATCAAATGTGCGGCATGTGATCGACAAGTGTTGCAATTTTTCATATTCATAAGTTTCTTGTGAATTGGTTAACTTCAGAACATGTTAAAGAAACAGTAAAAGGTTTAGTAAAAAACTTTAGTCCATGTAATGTTATCTCTAAGTGTCGTATAGCACCATATCTTACTCCAAGGTCATTGCTATTTTCCCTTTCATGGAGTGAATTCCATTTGACATGGAAACCATTCAAGGATTGAGCATTAAATGCACTATTGTCAAGATTTTTTTTACGTCAAAAGGGATTCTGGCTACTTGGAAGAAAATATCTGTCATTTTTCTTGTTTTGGAGAGAATTATATATATTTTGCTTTGTTAGAAAAAATATGGAGAGTGGCACAACATTTGAAGAAGTGTGGAGTTTCTTATTTTGAAGTAAGATACAATAATGTTACAGAACACAGTAGAAAAATCTATCTATTACTCCATATTTTTACTTAAGTAGAGTGATGATTATTTACAAAAATACCATTGCTGCTCTATAGTTTTATGGTAGTAAGCATAGTGTCTTTTTAGTATTATAGAATTTTCATGGGTTATAATGTTAGTCACGGTTGAAAATTCGTCAATTATCAACCATTTTTATTTTTTTCTGACTCACCAAAAAAATTAACTGAAATTAGCGAAGTTGGAAAGAAGGAGAAGACCTTTTCTTCTAGGTTTATGAGAGAGACCTTTTGCCATGGTTAATACATTTTTTCTTCTCTTTTTAAAAAAGATTTCCAATCGCCAGTGGTTGGAAATTTGGAGAACACGCTGAATGACCAAGTTTTCTGACTACTCTTGTTTGGCGGGTGGCAAAGTAATAGTGATAGAGGATTTTTTGAATCCCCAAAGTGGCCGAAAAGGCCATTTTCAACTTGAAACCTTAGGTCTCCAACCATTTTTTGGTGATAAGAAATTTCGAGTTTTCCAGCAATGAGTTATTTATGGATACCCGTAGTTCAACTTTTCTCCGAAACTGACCTGATGGTATACCACATAAATCCACAATATCTACAACCCTAAAGGCAATAGTTAAGAGAAGGGGATAAAAAGAAACAAAAGTATAGGTTATAGTTTTCGAATGCATATAGATATTTGCTCTTTTGAGATTTAACATGTGATTTGGTGGTAAACTATTCTGTTTTTAAATTCAAATCTTATCAATCTGATCTCGATCAGATGTACTAAAAAAAATATGCACTCTTCAACTAGAAAACTAGGAAAACAAGCACTCATAAAAATATAGTAAAAGCAAAGCCTTATATGTATGTATATACTAAAACCGAAACCTAATCTCATTCTGCACATGCACAAGACTGAGGGTGATCTCTGCTATGGAGATGTTTTATTTCTTCAGCACACCATTCTGCATATGACAAGAAACCTTAATAATCAAGCAGTGATATATGTATACATGTAAGTATCCAGGATCAGTCTATTATCTCATTTGGAGGTTTATTGTTACCCATCCCGGGGCTATGTCCTGGAGCTGTAGGCCTGAACGCATCAACTTCCTCCTCCTTGCAAGGGTTGTAGGACACATTATCAACTGAGGGAGGATGGTGTCGTCTAGGCTTATGTACCATAACACTACTTAGACAGGGTGCAGGTGGAGAATGAAATTCTGGTGGCAACCTTAATGCTTCAGCCGCCAACTCTAAGTGTCGATGAACTAACAGGGACAACATAGGTATACAATAGACCACAAGAACATAGATCCTAGGATGTGAGGCCATCGAGCTGAGCTAAGCAACACAAGATGAATCTTTAGATCCTATTAACAGCTTCAATAGAACTTTGGTCAGAGAAGTTTTTAATGGTCTAAATATGAGACTTTTGAAGGAAATGCAGTTGATGCTTGCAGGGTTACCATGGCTGGTGTATATAAGGATGCTGTAAAGGTCCCACAGAAGGGCATTGGTGGTCATAAACAATGGCGGGTGAAGCTTCATCTCTCAGCTCATAGCAGGTGCCCAGGCCACTATGAATAGATTATAATTATATTTTCGCCGCCATTATAAATAAATATCTGGATTGTGATCATATTTGTCTTGCATATTGTGTGTCTTTCTTCACCTGTGATGTTATTTAGTTCCACACCTACTTTTGTTGTGTTGGTGATTTGTTTGTGTTGCATGTGGCTTGGAAATGAAGTTTGGAGGTCTGTGATTGCAAATTGTTGGTTTTGAACTTTTTTTGAAGTTGTTGATGTTGTGTATAGAAGGTGTTCAATGCTTTATAAGGTGAGGTTTGCGAGTTTTCGATCTTTCATTAGTTACCAAAAATTTGTGTGAGACTGATGCAATTTCACATTAACTTTATAAGAGATTGTGGAGTGATACTTAATTTGGGCCAAATCTTCACTCTTGAGCTAGTGAAATGTTTGAGTGATATTACCATCGACTACTAGTCAACAACTCTTTTCAAATCTAACTTCTTTGTTTTTTTTTGTTTTTGTTTTTGTTTTTGACAAGAGAAGTTCATAGTTACTAGGTAAATTTGTAAACTACACAGGAGAGATAAATCGTACTAAAAAGACCTTGTAGGACGAGTTTGATCTAGACAATGTTAACAAGAATCAAACTCATGATCTTCTAATACGAGAATCATATTCCATTTATTCGATCATTTTTTCAGTCATCTAAAGTTCCTTTTTTATGGTGGTTTGATGCATCTAAAGTTCTCTTTGGATGGTGGTTTCATGGTTGGTTGGTCCTACGAGGGATTTAGACTGTTATATTGTTTGGATTTTAATTCTTTAAGCTATTAATAAAATATTTTATTTTCTGTTCCAATAAAAAAATACAAATATTATATAGCATAAGATACAAAGACAGACAACATTAAAAGGTGTGAACATGATGCACTCATTACACCTTAGAACAGAAGAGACCATCAAACATGCGAATATTTCCATTTTGGGTAAGAAAATAAAAAATATTTTCTTGACCTGCTGTTCCATTGCGGCAGAGTCGCCCTCCACCCACTCATTCAATTTATTTCCCCTTTTAATTTTTCCTTGAGTATAATCTAATCTAATCGTAATATTTGTTCAACAACATGATATATCTTACATTTGACTGGATGTAAATCATGATAACTCAACTGAACCACAG